GTGCAGTCTCTCCCAAGCGGGCTAAGCTGAGCTCGTCTAGCGGCGTATTTGCTTAGGAGGACTTCTTAATCTTTATCAAAAGCAGCGCTATCCACACTTCCTCTTTCATGGATACCTCCCTCCACTTGTGGCCCTTTTCATAATCGATAGGGTTGCTGGCTCTAATTAAATTTGCAGCCCATCATTACGTAAATGTTTCTACCGCCTTACCTTATGATTTCACCTCTTATCGATGTTTTGACGATGTAATGCCACTGAGATATCACATCTTATCAAAGTATCAGATTATCAAACCGTTTTCGATTGTACGCTCCTCATAACATTATCAGATTTGAAAAATAACATGTCATTATTACCAAGAAACTTTGCTTTACATGAAATATTTTAGAATTTCCTTATTTGTCTGAAGAGCACATAGCCCTATCACATTCTAACTTTGCTATCAATAGTGACCTGTTTTACTGTAGATGAACTGATATACAGCAAATATCAGATTATTTTCTCCATGTACATATTACCTAGTTTGATGCACAATTCTTGCAACAAAGTGATCTCAAAATTTCGTACTTAAACCTTCGTTTCCCTTTCCGATTTGGTTCTAAATGATTTTTCGAGGTATATTATGGAAAACTGTATTCGATACACATAACAGAAAATATATATTGTATGATTTCATTTGTTTGTTCAAGCATTCAAAGTATTTTTATATTTATTTCTTGCAAGCATTATGCAATACGTAGTATACGCTTGGCTCAAGACTCTGATTTACAAAGATTTTACATTATTGTCATAGTCAGGCAAAAATTTCGTTAAATTACAATATATGAACACGAAACGTTGAGAATATAATAAATTCTCAACTCCTCAACTGCATCCAGCTCTCAGAAATCCATAACAGGCGTGTGAGCATGCCCGCTAGTATTTTTAGCATAAATTTCGGCGCATGACTGCTCAAGTGAATGGAAATTAATTGCAACCAAGTAAAATAAAGCTATTGGAAGGTAAGAGCCTTCAGAAATTACAAAAATTAGGTATGAGAGCGAAAGTCAAAAGAAAACATATGCAAAGTGTGTGAGGTTCTCTGAACAAAAGTAGCAACAGTTGACTTCTCTCCCACTTTCCTATATTGTATCTGGAAGGAGTTTACAATTCGCTGTCACTCTGTCATGTTTTTTGAAACACTGGAATATGTTGTTTACGAGATTAGAGTCGAGATTGTTCGCTATTGTTCTTTATCAGCATTTTAACAAGAAAAATGCTTTCAAGAAATCCTCAAACTTCATTTCTTCTCAACATGCTATACGTCGCACATAGAAAGAAGAAATTTCGAAAATTTCATTTTCTTTTATCTTTATACTTCTTTTTATGAGAATCTCAACACCCAGACTGCTGCGTTGGAGAGACTGTGCAGAAAGCTCAGTTAGAAGCAGAGTAAAGAAGTTTTTGATGAAAAAAAAATGGGCGTGTTCATAAACTTTCGTAATTTTCTGACTATGTGTACATTTGCGCCACGATAATACCGTTGGATACCTGTCGTCCCCTAGGTATAAAGCAAGTTTGAGATCTTCAGAAAACTTCCGGAATTTTTCGAATCGGATGGAAAACTAGTTTTTCTTAGATCTGATTGCACTGGATCGTTTCAAGTTCGACTAATTTTTAAATCAAACCTCTTTTTTACTGATGTCTACTGCTTAGTTTTGGTTTGCTATAATCACAAGTTTTACATCAATAAGTGAATCAGAAATTACCCGATTATTGGCGTCACGCTCAACGAAATGAGCATATTACATGATAGATAATCGGATTCAAGCTACACAATCAATGCAATGACTCGTGACCGTAGACTACTGGTAAATGGGTAACCGGTTACCGTAGCCCTGCTCACTTTTTTCTCCTCATTTTTCAAATTTTCGGCTCATTAACACGCCGCAAGCAGCTCCTTTAGTGCATCTTGTCGATTGGTCAGGCAAGTTATTGGCTACGTTAGAAGCTGCGTAGCGTTCGATTTGTCAGCTGACGCTTATTTCCTTCTTTAGTACCATTTTTCTTTTGATTCTGTGATTCTGAGAGATTTAGTACGCTCTCACATACAATTAGAAACACGGATTGCAATAGGTTCTTCCATCTGACTTATTTATCGCGAAAGGACCGTCGGAATGTTGTAACTTTTTTAGAGACGTTTTCACTTTTAGTGCTGAAAATGTAATAGTTGAGGAGTATGTCTCAGAATTTTCACAATCTTCTTGTTTACACTAATGCGATAGCTTCCTTCAACAGTTCATTTTGCAAATGCTTTTTGGATTTCTGAGACTGGCTCTGATAATGTTCCAGAAAATCAAAAAATATCATTTATTCAAGAAAAGTCGCTCGCGAATTGACTGCAAACAAATCAGAAGAAAAATCTCTCAGTTATATTTTACGTGGTGTTTCCAACATTTATGAGCGATTTTTAAGATAATACTTAATGATCTGCTGCCCTTCTTTTTAGATTTGTGTACATTTAATGGAGCTACACACTTATTGCAGCTAACACCTATTGAGGAAAAGGACAGTTTATTTTTATGAATCTTGATCTTTGATGTAGTGGCTTAGCTAGAAATTTGTTCTTTCTTGGATGTTGCTTGTGACAATCATGCAGAAACCGCTTTATTTAAACGATCTTTATCTTTCAAGAGACTCCAAGCTCGATTATTGATGAATCTTGGCATGATGTAGATATTCGTATATGTTTACTTGAGCCGATCACCAAGATTGTAGCACGCTTTAGTCAGTCAGGCTAACGTTTCGGTGCCTTCACCTTCGTCGGAGCCTCCGCATATACGAAGATCTTAATCTTATTTCTAAATTAGGTGGAAGTGATTCACGAGATTGTAAACTGGCCACAAAAAAGGTACACATTTGAGCTCTGGATCATGAACCTGAACATCCGTTCGGATGGATTTTGTAATCTTTTATGACGAAGTTTTTCATTTTCATTTTCATTTTCATTTTCATTTGTACGCTCAAGGCGTTCCAATACAAACAAAAGAAAAAGAACACACAAAACACACATCGGAAGTTAGTAATACAGCGGAATAAGCGATAAACGAATGCAGACATCATCATATGAATCCGAGTCTAATCCTAGTCAGACTAATGTAAGAAAGATGAAACGGCTTGCACTGAATAGGTTGATAGGCTAATAGCTAGATATGTACAAAAATGTAGGCATTGATAGGCATTGATACTCATAACTCCAAAAGTTATAACTCCAAGGAGATGGGACTCATGCCCCCTCGTTGCCAGCGGAACGATCTTTGTATTATATCTTAAAAGCAAACCGACAGCTTATCAGGCGGGTCTACTGGCACAGGTTTAATAACCATAACCCCGCCTAGCCGGAATGCTGGGGAGGCCCAATGACCCCTAAGGTGAAAAGATTCACATACAAATCACTCGGTTGAATCAGCAAGCTGTATGATTGAATACTGAATAGCTGAGCGAAAAAGACTCGGACTAAGACGATGATGAGAGACTGGTTAGTAACTAGAAGAAAACGAGTACACCAAAATTACAAGTATGACGCAACGTGAGGAGACACACGAAAGACGTCAAAGCCATAATTTATAGCCATAATTGAAAAGCAAACCATCATAAGACCAAAGAGCACCTGAAATGGCAGATTTTAAATATGAAAATTGGAAGAAAAAGTGGTAGGAAACAAAGCCTATATCGAAGATCCTTCCATAAATACAGCCGTATAGCACATCCCAAGCAAATGAATACAAGTCCAGCATCTCTGATATAAAAAGGCTATGACCGTCAGGCAAAGCTAATCAATTTCAGCGATACTTGACAAGTCAAGTCTTCTTAGTCTACTCCTGAAAATATGACTACTATCTGCACTAGTGGTATCAACAGGAAGTCGCGAAAGCCACCTAGCTCCCCTACAAACACATTATTAAACATCAGTAAGTATTTTCTGCGTCGAATTCTTGGATATTGCAGGTTAAAAGAACCAGACCTTTCACTGGTAGGAACAAAAATCCAGTACTTGCTAGCTTTTAGTTTGTTCTCTCTCCTCAAAACTTGAAAGCAGAATACAAGGTCCGAAAATACTCGCCGATGTGTTAAAGACTGCATATGAAGCTTCTTAAGACGGTCGTGGTATTCAGGTGGGGCCATTCTGGGTGATACACGTCTGTACAACGTCTGTACAAGTTTTAACATGTTCTTTTTTCAATCAAGAGTTTCCAACCCAGGCCGCTAATTTGGCAAGCTTAGCCATACAGTGCTCCGACTGACAGGAAACATCAAAATCGAATGTTTACATTTCAACCGTGCATTTTCCGCCAATATCTAATCCCAAGTTCGTTTTTCAAAGCATTTCTCCATTTATGAAAATCTGACATAACACATTCATGTACTTTACAACTATCAAAAAAAAACTCTGATCAAAATACAGGCAGTCGACCATTCGATTCTTCTTGAATTCTTCGTCTCAGTTCAATTACATTCATTTAAGTCTCTAATGTTTTTACAAACCGTCAAACGACAATAGGAATTTTTCTACCCTATAAACATTCTTTAATTTTTGTTTGTTTTTTGATTTTTATGCTACTTTATCTGATTTTTTCAACGCGATATATCGCACTTTTTCTCTAGAACATTTCTGCCTTTGCTCTCACTAAGTCTGTCATTCTCGCCGCACTTGTATATACTAGAATCAGCACAATCAATTATGTTCGCTTGTCTGCTGTAATTTTCAAACTATCATGTTCCTCACAGCTACCCCACTTTTTACTGGTTCTTTCGATATAGAATCTCTGAATGTATAGAAAATTTCTTCGCTGCTGCAGACATTCGATCTTGTGTATAAAGCTGAATCTTTCTTCTTTAACAGCCTCAGATCTCTCTCAATCTTTTCATGGTTTATGCTATGCACATACGCTTTTTTATTCGGTCATCTCTAACTCGACGCTGTCTGCTCAAACCTCGTTTCAGATGTCATCCAAGCGATAATGTCATTGTGGTTGCTTGCTCGTCTTCTGCTTGTGACTTGCTGTTTTGATGCCAGTGCCGAAGACTCGCAATTGCTCGCCTTCTCCAAACAGCTCATTAGCCGATTTGAGGAGCAGTCTAGGGCTGAATTGCTCGTCGAGGTGCGATTCTTGTGCTGCAAAGAGGAGAGGGAATTAGCAAAAAATTTTATATAAATTCTTTAGAACTAATTTTCAATCAATTTTTCGAAGTGGCTGTGAGAGGTCAAAACTTCTTTACCTTGGAATTACTTCAGAAATATCTTTCTAATATCAATGGTCATGCATTTGGTTCGAAGATTCTCGGTAATTTGGGACAGGAGGGAAAGCGGAAAAATCTGCAGAAAACCCCGAAGGAAATATTATTTAGGGCCATGCTGGTTTATTTACTTACTCAATCAAACATATTCATATTTATTTATTGATGGTTTTCCGAAAACTCTTCAATGTCTCTACGTACAAGCATTACATGAAAGTATCTCATTTTTTGTCGACACCAAAGATTTCCCACCTCAACCCCTTACTCTCCCCTACTTCTTGTCTGACTCATCTACAGTCAGATTAAAAATAATTTCATGACATGCAAACACGTCATAACTTTATAAATATGTTGAACTAGCTGGCTTACCCGGCTCCGCCGTATCCGGACCAAACTTGGCACACATACACTTCGGGCCCCGGCGGGTGTCATAGGCTACTTTTCGTTATCGATCGATGTCGATTTTACCGATTTTTATCGATTTTTTCGCAGAGTTCACCTACAGGGCTAGGAGTTGGCACAGGGGGGAAGTGAGCATGGGAATTCTGAATACAATATTAGTTTTCAGAATTATCGGTTACTTTTATTGATTTTCTCGATTTTTTGTAAATTTTGACATGCGAGGCTGAGATTTTGCACAGGGGGGTAATCGAGCATGCAGATTACGAACACAATATTAGTTTTCAAGATCGTCCATTACTTTTATCGATTTTATCGATTTTTTTGTAAAGTTTGACCTGCGGAACTGGGAGTTTGCACAGGGGTAATCGAGCATGCAGATTACGAATACAATATTAGTTTTCAAGATCGTCCATTACTTTTATCGATTTTATCGATTTTTTGAAAATTTGAGCTAGGGGGCTGGAATTTGGCACAGGGGTGTAATCGAGCATGCTGATCACCCCCCCTTGGGGATGATCAGCATGCTCGAATACCCCCCTGTGCCAACTCCCAGCCCCCTAGCTCCAACTTTGCAAAAAATCGATAAAATCGATAAAAGTAATCGATAATCCCGAAAACCAATATTGTATTCGGAATCCCCATGCTCGATTACCCCCCTGTGCGAACTCCCAGCCCCGTAGCTCAAACTTTGCAAAAAAATCGATAAAATCGATAAAAGTAATCGATAATCCTGAAAACCAATATTGTATTCGGAATCCCCATGCTCGATTACCCCCCTGTGCCAACTCCCAGCCCCGTAGCTCAAACTTTGCAAAAAAATCGATAAAATCGATAAAAGTAATCGATAATCCTGAAGACCAATATTGTATTCGGAATCCCCATGCTCGATTACCCCCCTGTGCCAACTCCCAGCCCCGTAGGTGAACTCAGCAAAAAAATCGATAAAAATCGATAAAATCGATATCGATCGATGACGAAAAGTAGCCTATGACACCCGCCGGGGCCCGTAGTGTATGTGTGCCAAGTTTGGTCCGGATCGGTTCAGAAATGGAATTTTCTATTCGGAACATACGTACACACATACATACATACATACAGACAGACATACATACAAACAGACATTCAGCTTTATATATAAGATAGCTGAGATTTTCTTTATGGAAACGATCTATAATCTCCACACGTATTGCTAATTCAATTTCTGCATCAGCAAGAAAAGATTTTATATATATATACATATATATATATCAGTGGCGGTCCCAGGTTTTCGGACCGGGGGGGGGGCGGCGAAAAAATTTTTCAAATGAAGGTGCGTGGCGTTAGCCGCGCACTCCGAAAAAATTTTTGGGGTACTTCTCAAAAATTTTTGCGGGTCCATAACCCCCAAAATCTTGAAAAAGGGGGCGTTGCGTTAGGATTACGGTTGGAATTTCGAGGGAATTTTAAGCCGTTGAAAGCGGTATTTTACCTCAGAAAGAAAGCCAAACAAGCCAGAAACTTTTCAAATGGGTTAATCGAAGTTGCTAATTTAAATATGAAAATTGCACGTCAGCACCCTGTTTCTTCCATGAATTATTTCAAATTTGGGGTAACAACTGATTTTCCAGTGTTTGTCAGAAATGCGAATACGCCATCAAAAAGCTCGAAAAACTGGTGAAAAGTTATGTAATGAAATCAGCACGCTTGAAAACCTTGCTACACAAATTTTTAGATTTTTTCGAAAATATTTTATCAAAAGGCTTATTCCATAGTGACACTGTGTGTTGAAAGTTCATACCGTGACCCTACGGTAACGAAGAGTGATTGGTGATTCGTTCCATACTGTAAATGTAAGTTTATCCTCGCTCTACAGAATGGTTCCTCAAGCTCGGCAAAAGACATGAAAGCAAGAGAGCTATTAACGATCAAACAGTGTGTACATCTTTTTGGACACTCTGTATATTAGGTCGTTCCGAAAGTAATTTCACTTTTTTCAAATGCACGCCACACGTGATAGAACAAAGATTTCATATAGGTCTTGGTAGCATTAGATGCAGAATTTCATCCTCTTTCTAATGGTTGTACAATTATTGCAGCATAGCCAATAAGCTTTTAAAAATTTTGAGATGCTCAAGTTTCACAATTCTTCTAAATTTTTACATAGGCCCTTCAAAGGAGTCCAAGTAGCGATTCGATAGAGCCAATCCCTACTGGACAGAAAACCATTTTTTTCTCCTTCACATAACTCCTCAAATTTTCAAATAGAATTTTGATTGATGCTATAATTTCCATTCTTGGTCAGCTCAAACATCGTAGAACATCAAACGTAAGCAGCTCGAGTGTCATTCGATGCAGCTTGTTCTCCTCTTTCTATTAGGTTGATGCATAATTCCTGCACCAAAATAGGTACAGACCGCAATAATCCGGAATAATCCTATATCCCAAATAGGATTCGATATATCACCAGATAGAGCAAACCTAGCTCTACAAGATGGTGCTCAAATATCCGCACCAGCTTTGATCCACGCGAAGTTTTGAGCCGAAAACTGAAAAAAACCATGCGTCCGACAACCTTAAGACCAATCAAATCAAAATTGTAACGTCGTTCAAAAAGCTCCTACAAAATTTCTTTCTTGCTCACGCGTAGACATTCCACGTAAGACATCTATCTATGCAGTTCCTGTATTTTTTTCTCTCAGCCAGACGATGAGAAAACGAAGTTTTGCATGTATTTGCCAAATTAGTGCTGAGATGTTCTACATTAACAGTTGTATACTATACGACCTTAGAAGCGGTGAATTTTCAGCTTTTTACAGCAGCTGGGTTACGAGAAATATCGAATATTTAGCAACTAGGCAAGAAAAATTTGGATGAGAAGAGCTAGGTTCGTCATTTCTCGTGAACTAACAGTTCTAGAAGGCTGAAAATGTAAAGCTCTACTGCTAACGGCATGTACTATACAACTGTTAGTGCTAGAACATCTCAGCACTAATTTGGCAAAAACACGAAAAACTTCGTTTTCTCATCGTCTAGCTGAGAAAAAAATACTGCAACCGCATAGATAAATGTCTTACTGGAATGCCTATGCGTGAGCAAGAAAGATATTTTGTAGGAGCTTTTTGAACGAATTTACAATTTTGTTTTGATTGGTCTTAAGGTTTTGCGCGCATGGTTTTTTCAGTTTTCGGCTCAAAACTTCGCGTGGATCAAAGCTGGTGCGGATATTTGAGCACCGTCTTATAGGGCTAGGTTTGCTCTATCTAATGATATATCGAATCCTATTTGGGATATAGGATTATTCCGAATTATTGCGGTCTGTGCCTATTTTGGTGCAGGAATTATGCATCAACCTAATAGTACATAAATGCTTTTTGTTTCTCCTTTGTAGATTTGCGTAGAAAATCATCATAATTCATATTTTCGAACGCATTCCGGGCTGTTCCCGGAAATATCGAAATTAGATAATTCCATTCCGTAAACTCTCATTCGCTTTGCAAAATTAGTGTTAAATCATAATACCATCTTAAATGTTTCACCGAAGATTTATTGGTGTTTGATGCGGATGTAGCTGATGTAAGCTTGTCATAATTCGATGGTTCTAATAATAAATCTTTTAAGAAATTATGGCGGGTATAAAAATGAGAAAAAACTTGCGCCATGTCCTATGAGGTTTGCTCTATCGAATCGTTACTTGGACTCCTTCGGAGGGCTTATGTAAAAATTTAGAAAAATTGTGAAACTTGAGCATCTCAAAAAGCATGGATCGCAGACTTTCGTAATTTTTCAAAAGCTCATTGACTGTGCTGCAATAACTATACAACCATTAGAAAGAGGATGAAATTTTGCATCGATTGCTGCCAGGCAATATACAGCGCTGTATATAGTTTTTTTGGTCGCGAAGTCCTTTGCCGTATCTAAGCTGGTCGATTTTCGAAAAAAACCCCTCGCGCCTTGTGCGCGTGAAATTAGGGTAATCTAATTTAACTTAGTTTTTAATTGGTACAAATTTGAAAAACTGTAACACTACAACCGTCAAAAACGACCGAAGTCTGCCTCAGGATGTTTTTCCCCACTTTTGATAACCAGCACTATTTAGAATACGTAAATACCTAACCTTGAAACTGCTGAACTACATATGTGAAAATCTACTCTCTTACAAAACTGATTTCTCCACAATTCGTGGTAACATGGCATTCTATCCAATACTGCACTCCATGTCCCTTATGACACAAAAACTGCCTAATGTTGATGGAAGTCTTTTTATTCAAGCTTTCACTATCATGTCAATGTATCATGTGACTTACGCTACATTTGAGTATATAGAACCTACAAGTACAAATGCAAATATCTTAAAGTGCTTTATAAAACGGCTTATTTATAGAGACGACATTAAGAATTTTGGAGAAGAAATAAAATAAAGAAAAGGGAATAAAGGAAAAAAGAAGAACCAAATAATGAAAATAGGAGTAGAATAGAATAATTAGAACTAGTTAGAAAACCAACTGAAAAAAACCAAAAACAAAACTGAAAACCAACTAAAAACTAGCTGCGTAACTAACCTAACTTCTATATTTTATGAACAACCATTCTAACTGGACAAAAATGAATTGCTTTTGACCAATTTTTATTTAAAATTCTACTTCCTCATGTCTTTCAGCCATTTGACAACATCAAATCGAATATTCGAGTCAAATCCGAGTATCCGCAGGAGGCGCTGAACAGCGCAAAGAAGAAATTAGAGCAACTGTTTGCCGATAGGACTAGAGCTCTTCAGGTATGAATATTCATTTTTATTTAGTTATTTATTTTTATTCAGTTGATTAATTTATTCATTCTATATGTTCTGATGCATGCTACAAATGCAGAGCTAAGTGTATAATCGAGACTCTCACGATTCTGAGAGGATAGGCGAAATGAACTGAAAAATCATTATCAGTTTGGGTCCAAACTGATGTTAGTAAATTATGTATCCATTCTATATTTGTTTTATGCTTATTTAGATGCTCAGGCATGAATTCCATTTTCACCTATCAGCTTTTTCTTACTTTTTCGCTATTTTCCTTTGAACAGTCAGCTACTTATTAAGGCTTTTTCAACACGAGTTTTCGTCTTACACTCTTCGTCTAGTTAAAATTCTTTTTTTTTTCAAGCTAGTAAGCTTTCTCGCATTAGCGCGCCTTCAATGGTGCGAAGCCAGCGAACTTACGCTCGACTAGCAGAGAGTAGAAAAGGCAAAGGGAAGTATGCTAAAGCATGGTCTTGTAGTTTCCGCCATTGAATTGCTTAGCTCTGTAAATAAGGCTATGTTGAAGAGTAATGGATTCTTTATACCATCAAACTACAGATTTGTAACTGATTGCTGTAGCTCTAAAGCTAGAAGTCAGAAAAAGAGTGATTCTAAGATCACCGTTACTCTTTTTTCTTTTTACTTTTATTCTGGTTTCATATTCGCATCCGAAACACAACTCCTGAGAGGCGATGGTTGCTTGTGTACATTCGCAAAAAGTGGAGATTGTTTGACTAAATAAGGGATAACAGAGAGGTCTAGTTTCTGACAAAAAATAGTTGAAACCTGTGAGAAAATAATGAGAGTTTCGACTGTATAAAACCGCTGATTTTAAAGCCGGAACCGCAGACCCGAAAATCGAGGAAAGTAGAAAAAATCGAACTTTTTTTGAGTCTGCCGCAAGACCATCTATGGTCTGGGTAAGGTGATTTTACGTGAAAAAAATTGAGAACATTTCTTTTTTGACCAAATGGACGCGGAATTTTTCTCCTCCCAAACGATTTGTACCATGCTTGAGTATCAGTTTCAAAGCTATCTGCATTGCTCGCGAAGGGTTTGGTAGTTCTTTTTTTTGAAAACACAGTTACCCTTTTCTATTCTCCATTACTCATTTCGTCCTTTTGCGCGACTTTTTCGAAATCGTTGGGACAGCCCAAGTGCTTCCGAGACGAGAAGGCGGATTTGAATCGATCTCTAATTGGCCAAAGCATCTCACCGTTAAAAGTCCCGTGCGAATTTAAGCTAAAGAGTCGGGACCTAATGGCTCCATGCCATTCCAGCTTGAGGGTCCATCCTTTCTAATACTATACTGGCAAACAAGTCAGTTTAGCCAATATATCTCCCTTCCCCCCCATCCCCCCTCCCCCCTCCTCCAGAAAGCTGAAGAATGTGGAGGCAGTGGCGAAGCAATGAATGCGGCCGAAAAGACGAGACATTGCATAATTTGGCATTATTGAGTGGAACGCGGCGAAGCGACGACGACTGAACAATGGTCGTTTCGGCTAACAGCATATACGAGTATCGAAAAAGTCGAGTCCCATCTACGGATTGAGAGAAAGAGAACGGCAGAAGGAAGGACTAAGGCAATAAAGCGTGGCTTTGCATTTCCTCACAGATAGTGAGAGTTCAGATGATTTAGAAGGGTCTCCAGTATCATTAGAAACTCTTCGGTTTGAGATCCTCTAGTAAATATACAAGAATTTTCACTACCTCCCTAGCAGGGCTTCTCAGAAAAGTAATGAACGTTCAATCGCTAACTTTTTGAACATCAGCTTTCGTAAAGCAATAAGAAGCACATTGTAGGGATGGCTTAAGCTTCGATTCATATTTCAAAAATAATCATTTATGCCCTTAACATTCAAGATTCTGAGCCAGTGAAAGCGAAGCTTGTCCCAAAAACAAAGTGAAAAAGTCGAGCTTCTCATAGATTAGCGGGTCTAAAAATCCCAAAACAATAGTATTCAGACATTTCTGAAATTTTTCGGACTGCTGGATGGTTTGCTATGACGACGTTGCGCTGGAAGTTCAACCATACTCCTACAGTAATGAAGAGCGATGGTCGACAAGAGTTTTAATAATGTAGGATCATCAATCACTCATTGCATTTTTTGGTACATCCTGTACTGCTGCAATACAAATAGCCTTTACAAAAAAGAGACTTTATAGAAACAAGGCTACAAAAGCTTTATTATAATACGAGTTGAAACTTCTATGGTTGTTTAATTTACACAACCTCTTTTAAGTCTTCATTATTCTCATTTGAGCAGAACTCGGTTCCTAATTCAATAACCATTGTTCCAGAAACTCACTCGAAGTGCTGAAGAAGCAGCCAGTTTTTATACTGAGTACAATGATTCAAAGGTAATATTTTTTGCACTTGATTTATTTTGAGTTTTGCATTTACTTATGTGAAATCAGCACGGCATCTTTCTTTGAAAGCTTGAAATTCTAATTTTCTCGGCTTCTAGCCAAGAAACAAATACAAATACGGCATATATGATTGTCTTATGTGGTGTATATACGTGAGCGAGTGGGTTCAGGGTCCGACACGCGTTGCTTTGGAGCCCTTTTGGAAACGAAGTCCCCCATGACTTCGCGAAAATTCACTAAGTCCCTCTTGACGTAAAAATCAGTAGGGAAACCCTTATTCAATCAAAATAGCAGTAAAAAGCGAAAAAAGCGCATTTTGAGTAATATAACAAAAAAGCAAAAAGAAAACAATGCGGGTTGATTTGAGGCTCTGTCATTGGGTATGGTACCGTTTTAGTGCTCAGAATGTCAACCTCCCAGGCCGACCAAATCCGCGGCCTCAACATTCTGACGATGCGCTCCTCGCCACATAGTTCAACGGACACCGTGTCTGATTGTAGCGCAACATCGATCAAAGCCTAGATTTACATTACTGTTGGCTCAAACAAAGAGGAGAGGCAATGGTTTGACTCACTCTCTTCCTTACATGGTACACTTTTGACCGTTCTAATCGTCCAAATAAAAAAGATCCAAAACTTATGTGAACTCTCTGATATTTATGCTCCGAGCCAACCCAGTTACATAGTTTGGTGTTGGTCTAGAAACCAACAAATTCGGGAACGGATATTAGAACACATAAGTTTTTGGAACTTTTTACATAACATAGTAAGAATTGTATACACATAGCCCAAATTCGGAGCCATGTGATTGTTTGTGCGCTGTAAACAAGCCATTTGTTTGTTTGAGTCTTGCGTTTGAATTTCGCGCGCTTGCGAGGGAACGTTCAACTCGTAAAACCTGACGTGTTCGTCGTTTTTTTCGGAGCTTCCCCCAGGGACTTATAACAACAATATCCCCATTGCTTCTAACTTCAAGAATGGAGTCCAGTTTGACCTCAGACCATCCGTGCCGGGCCCTGAGTGGGTTTTCTTCAGACGAAGTTGAGAATTTTCAAATTTTCTCGGGCATCCAACACTTCTATGATTTCGGCTACCCTTATTTCACGAATGCAAGACGCAACTTTTCTTTTTTTCAAGCAAGCGGCTCGGACGCACCACTGTCCCCGCGTAATAGTCGCTCTTTCACATAATTCTTTTAGGTAAGGAGGTGGATGGTCCTTTGATCTTGAAATTATTTGATGTGTCACGCTGGTCAAGAATGAAAAAAAAATAGATGCTCCTGTACTTGTGAAATTGGGATAACTCGAGATGTAGCAAAACTGGTGCGAATACTCACATGCCATCTTATAGAGCTTGCATGGTACCGTACATTAACCTCTTGCTTTCTTGACGTATTTGGATGCACATAATTTTATCCAAAAGGAGAAGTCACGCGCTTCATAAATGCATGTAGCGTACTTATCAATACGCACTGGGTAGATAGAAGCAGTACAAGAAAATCACAGATTTTGATTTTGGTCATTGAAAATCCGAGACTTGCAATAAAAAAGTCGGAACAGTCGGTATTATAGGTCTTTAAACCTGCTCTTTTTGAGTGTGCAAAGTTTGTGCTCACTGGATTCTCTTTATGGAAAACTATGGTTTTCGTGAAAAATGCCGAAAAAAAATCAGATTTACCGCTATGTTTTGCTTGCTCGAAATTGCAACTTTTCATAGAGACGTTACAGCACAAACATTGCAGAGTTAGAAAAAGCAGGATAAGAAACTATATTACTGACTGCTCCGATTTTTATTGCAAGTTTCAGATTTTTACAACCAAACTCAGGAAGATCAAAATTTTAGTGATTTTCTTTATAGCTTCTATCTACCCAATGATGCGTATTTGGAAGCACGCTACATGCAGTTATATAGCGCATGACATCCCTTTCGGAATCAACTCAAATGCATGCAATTTCGTTGAAATACCAAGAAGTTCTGAATTTTTGGGTGCGACAGAACTTCCGTTCCAACGTTCCAAATCAACTTCTGAGAGTATAAAATTTGCATTAATCAAAAGCGTTCGGGATAACCAAAATTTGCAGAACATTTCACAAGACGAGTCGGTTTGCATGAAATTCGAACAGCTTCTGAATGAATCGGACGTTCGTGAAGCATCCAACTCGGCCACCAAGACATCCGGGGTACATGTCAGCATAGAATCTTACCGATGTGGTAAGGCAAACTTACCATGGACAAATTCCAGTAATGCAAAAAGTTGTTTGAGATGCAAAAGTAATCCGCGACTTCAGTTGGACTAGAGCTGAGAACGTTGAAAGGACTATGGCCGAGAATAAACGGTATCAATCATTTCATATGTAGGCTTGAGTTTTGGTCGGCAATAAGTGTAAGAGCGGTGCCGAAATTTGTTGACATCATTTGCGCGCTAATAAATTGCTATCCGGTAATGCCGGCGATTTGTACATGCAAAATAGCCGAAGAGCGCACATTCTTAACTTTTTCGCCATTTGGTAGTTTGTTGTTTCGCAAATGTTGTCCGCAAACGTCTGCAACTGCAGGGACACGGTAGTCACCATCAGATCTACTAGCCTTGACATCCTGAGTCTATAGTTTATATCAATTTAGAGATGATGAATCAATGAGGCATCAATTCATCGGCACCTACAGTGGCGTGACAAGGATGTATCCGAGTAAGTAACCTCGTGGCCAATCGCAACCGACTTATTGAACAGTCCGAGGCGCGCCGTCAAGGCGAGCCGTCCACAACAAGCCGAGCCGTTCTCCCCCCCCCCCCCCACCCCTCCCCCCTTCCAAGCGAGACTTGAATCGATGAAATTCAAATTATAGGACGACACTGGAGGATCGAGCCGGCTCCAATCACCATCGACCTTTTTGATCCAAAATTTCGACCATGGTTTGTGAATGCTGAGTCGCCACCCAAGGACATTGTCTTTCTTATTGATTAGTGAGTAGCTTGAAATATCCTCGAAACTCTTGAAGTTACAATCGCGATCATCACAATTACAATCAGATTTGCCATTTTGAGCAAAGGAAAAGGAAAGATAACTTATTCGAACTGGCCTTTCAGTATGAGAAGTAAACAAGTTGTAAAGCTGTAGTCATATAGTTCAAGAGATTCAAAAAGAGCTAATCATTGATTTTCCTTGCTGATTGTAGGCTAACAATATGAATGTAGAGGCTTCTGAACCATTGAGGGCTAAGTATTGCCTTCAAATGGCTTCATAGACTCTAGAAACCTAGTGATTGAATAATAGCACTGATTTTGAGAATAAACACAATTGCCTATAATTCTTCGCTTATAGGTTACAGATGTACTGTAACAGCTTCTTCTTCGATGTTCTTAAAATACTTCATCATATCTTTGAATTATTCAATAAACTTCTGCAAAGATTTGCATGTTTATAAACCAAACAGTTTTCAGGTTTTCAAGCTGCCAAAAAAATTTATGCATTTCTGGAAATGCTAGAGCGCGGAGAGATTTGTATCGTAATCCCACAGTAACAAAGCAAACAATTAATTGTTTCACATCTACTGAATAATCAAGTTGAAATCCACTGTACAAAATGTTAACTAAAGTCACGCTATTTCAGTTTGACACATAAGTCGTGCATTGAAAAATATGAAAAAATTCGCTTTGGAATTACACATGAAATTAAACAATTTCAGGAGTGGATGAATATAGCTAGATCAAGAGCGAATAAGAGCCAGACGCAACCGTTTATATGAGTTCTTTTAACAGTTGATTAGAAAAGATAAGGTCATTAAAGCGGGACCAAAAAAATATGATCAACCGGATAAGCGTCGGCTATGATCAGAAAAATACAGTCTAAGTGTTTGCTTTTACCAGCGCCACCGCATGCCGACAATAATTTTTTCTCTGGCATGACATCTATATAAATAAAGCTGGATGTGAGTGTATTTATTTATTTATTTATTTTTAATCAAAACGGACCAACTTTGCACACATGCACTTCGGCGGCGCGGGTTTAGTAGGCTACTTTTCGTTACCGATATCGATATCGGTATTGGTTTTTAGAGTTGTCTATTAGTTTTATCGATTTTATCGATTTTTTGCAAAGTATGAGCTACAGGGCTGGGAGTTGGCACAAGGAGGTAAATGAGCATGCTTATAAAAATATTATTGGCAGGGTCGGGTGGAGCCGGATTTGCCGGCTAGTAGCACATTATAATCACTTTTTTCAGAACACATTATAATCGATGATTCTGTTGAAATTGGAAATTGCTATGAGTTTACGAAATTGATTTAGATGATTTCAGCTCTGGTAGCGTTAAAGGACCAACAATGCATCTCATAAAAATCACAATGATGTACATATTGTCAACGCTCTCACCAAATGACTTCTTCTTTGGTAATTCTAGCCGTTTTTCCTTTTCAGAAGAGTAACCTGCCATGGATTCCAGGTGTCTACTTCAATTCTCATTTTGCTCCAGTGTTGCCTTGTGCAAATGGCACTTTTCTTCCTGCTACGACCAGCAATAAAAAGGTGAGCGGGGTTCTCTTTCTTGGAATTACGATGATTTCAAGTTAAAAGAAAACTTGCGTTTCGTCATTTATGCGTGAGTTGTGATGCTGATATATACGTGTTTGTCGAAAATTTTGTTTTCGTCAGCTCCGATCGAGTTTTGCATGCGCATCCTCAAGGGAGCCATGGCGCTATGCTCGGCTGTAATTGACTTCGACTATCTGAGTGGAGGGGCTTTTCACAACAAAGTGTTCGTTGCAGAAACTAGCACACACAAAGCATCTCCCCACCCGCTCACTTCCTCACCCTTCATGGAAGAATTTAGCGAAAAATTTGAAAGCACTCTAATGTGCTATAAAGCTGTGCAAGTGACCTATTTCTATTTGTATCACTTAAAATATTTTTTGAAAATTCTCCATATTATGGCTTGATGAGCAACTAATGCATGTTGCTTATCCTTGAGCGGCAGAATAGGTAAGAAAATCCATGAAATATATCATTCGATGGAGCAAAGCAAGCCCTACAGATGATGTCCAAACAATCTTAGAATGTATGGTAAACAGAGAATCAGGAGGAATTTAAAAATCATCAAATACACAAAAATCGGATCTCTCTAGAAATTCCTACAGATTTCCAACTTGCTCACAAAAGAATCTTGTCGCAAAGGCTATGCATGTGTGTACATTTGCTGTATTTTTTCTTTGAGTGAAAGTTGAGAAAATAAAAATGGCATGCTCTAGCACAAATGCTGGATCGTCCCGACTTATTGTTAGGCAATTCCATACTACAAGCGTTTGGAAATATACCATTGAATTCTAGCTTTTCGAGCTTTAGTTGTCGAGAAAAATCAAATTCAACATCAAAAAACGCGAAATATACTGCATTTTCGAATTTTCGGCCTATTTTCAATTTTCAGTTCCCAGTTACGAAAAAAATACGGCAAGTGTACATATGAATCCTTATGTGTACAGTATAATATATGCTTGACAAAGTTGTGAATTCGAGATCCTTCTAGACGGAAATCTTTCTTACAAGGGAATGGTCAGAAATCGAAGTGGCCAATCCATACAAGCTGAATACCATTAAATGCAGCATAAAACGCTGACATTAAATCTGTCTTCCGTATCTGCAGAGCGCTTTTGTGGACGAAATTATGACCCGTTAAAGGCCATTCTTTTGCTAAGAAATTATGTGTGTAAAGGGCAAACTCCGCCGTACAGAGCCGTACCCGGCTCAGTGCAAGACCAAAACATGCAACTAGGTTACTTCATATGGTCAGTACCTGAAGGTGAGCGAAAAGGGCAATAATGTGCCTGATCTCGCAATTTTTGTGTACGATTTTTTCGCGCTAAAGCTGATCATAACTTCGCTTACAAAGGCGCTCTGCGGATACGGAAGATAGATTTGAAGTCAGCATTTTATGCTGCATCGAATGGTATGCAGATTGTATGGATTGGCCACTTCGACTTCTGACCATTCCCTTGTTAGGTGTTCAAAATTTTCCAAGTTTTTTCCGCAAACTTCACGTTGATAGGATGTTTTGCGGTCGCTCGTAATATCGTATGCAGCTTCTTTGCTCCATCGAATGGTGTATTTTATACACATTAATATTTCTTCTGCCGCTTCAGGATAAGAAACATGCATTGATTTCGCCTCAACCTAGTCTGCTAGCATAGCAGAAATTTTCGGAGGGAACGACGGCCATCTTCACATCTTTCTTCCAGTATGACACGGTTATACGTCCGCGAAAAATTGAAGAGCATCCTAAAAAAAACTTGGGAAGGCGTAGTTAACGCTAGAACCTCTAACTTCAGCTTCTTGTCGCGTACCTCCCTCCATCGGTATAAAATTCCTAGACCGCCAGATGAACTAGTGTTTCATACTACTTCTATATGACAAGTATTTTATTTACTAGAAAATTCTTTTGAAAAATAAGTAAAAAACGTTCTGAGCACTTTTCTAGTATCCTTTTTTTATTTCTTTCTCCACTGTCTTCTTTCCTACTCGCTAAAACAAAACTCCATTTTAACTGCCCTCCATTACTTTTGTCACCATAATTCAAACTTACTTATATTTTATCAATTTTTTTTCTATTTATTTATCGCAGCTGTAATTGTGATTGCTTCTAGATTTTCTTTGAACGACTTGGTGAGATTGAAGAAAAAGATCAGGCACATGTCTCTCCTCCGTTAAAATTCTCCCTAGATGCTTTGAAAGGGGTAAACATTCCGAACAGCAATTCATGGCCTCCTGTTGATGTACATCTTTAGAACCTGAATTCAAGCAACTCCGTATTCAAGAATTATCGATCCGGTGGTCATAAGATTCTTATGTTGTTTACGGACGGACTCGATGAGTGGCCTCATGCTGTCTTGGACCAAGAACTTGAGCATACTGATGGAGACGTTGTGAGAATATCAGCTTCACGTCATTTGCTTGATCCTTGGCATTCTGACCTAGATAAGAATATTCGGATTTTCGATGGGCTACGGTACCGGACAATTGCCAGTGTTACATTGGATGTCATGCATGTCTTTCGGAAAGTATTCTGGTAAGCTAAGCAAAGTTTTTTTTTGCACAAATGCAGCTCTTCTTACTTTCACGCCTTGTATAGCAGAGCAAGTTTCTTGCTGGTACGCAATCACCCTTCTCGCAGATCTTCGGCGCAAATTCGCATGAAAAGTATACAAGTATTCATGCCCCTTTGAATGCAGGATTCTAAACAATAATGGAAATCGGAAAGATCTGACCACCATAAGAAACCCATCCTATAAGTTATGCAATTCCACACATTAGCAAGAAAACCTTCCAGGCTATAGACAGCACAGAAGGTATTTACCTGTATACTATTAGGTTGTTACATAATTCTTGATACACTCTGCTCACTTATGGCGATAAGTCATACACTTCATATTTTCAACAGGGCTTCAGGGCACATTCGATAGCTCAAAGCAAGCTCTACAAGATGGCATGTGCAAATTTGCACTAGCTGCGATCCACTGCAAATTTGAAGCCGAAATCTATGTCGTTCTCAATGCTCAAAAAATCGAAAAATTTTATATCTTTGTTTGAAAACGTCCTACGGATCTCCCACTTGCTCACAAAAACAACACTCCACATCAGACATTCAAATATACCGCTGCTGTATTTCTTACTCAGTTAGAGATTGAGAAAACCGAAATTTTTGTACTTATGCAAAAACGAAGCTATGCTGTTTTCACGCAGATATTTGTTTACTACAAGCCTTTAGAAATATAACCGTGTATTTTCAACTTCACACAAGCTCTAGTTTTCGAGTTTTATCACATTTAGCTCCCCTCACTCGAGTGCTCCATGCTAAAATCAGCATTTCTCGAGAAGTAGAGCTTGTGGAAAGCTGAAAATTTGCGGTCATACTTCCGAAGGCTTGTAGTAAACAAATATTTGTGTGAAAAAAGCATAGCTTCGTTTTTGCATAAGTACGAAAATTTCGGTTTTCTCAATTTCTAACTGAGTGAAAATTACAGCAGTGGTATATTTGAATGTCTGATGTGAAGTGTTGTTTTTGTGAGCAAGTGGGAGATCCGTAGGATGTTTTTGAACAACGATATAAAATTTTTTCGATTTTTTGAGTATCGAGAACGACTTAGATTTTGGCTTCAAATGCAGTGGATCGAAGCTAGTGCGAACTTGCACATGCCATCTTGTAGAGCTTGCTTTGAGCTATCGAATGGTGCCCTGAACCCCTATTGAAAATATGAAGTGTATGACTTATCGCCATAAGTAAGCAGAGTGTGACAAGACTTATGTAACAACCTAATAAATAAAAGAATCTTACAAGAGAGAAGACGAAGTGGCCGATACAAACAAGCTGTGTACCATTCGATGCAGCATAGAACGCTGACTTTTCTGCCTTTCTTATCTGCAGAACGCCTTTGTAGGCGGAGTTATGAGCAAACTTACTGCGAAAAAATCGTGCACAAAGATTGCGAAATTAGGCTTATTATTGCCTGTTTGGCTCACCTTTAGGTATGAGCCATTTGTAATAACCTGGCGGATGTTTTGGTAACATTAAGCCGAACATGGTTCTGTACTGCCAAATGCCCTTTGCACGCAAGCTTTCTTAGCAAAACGATGGCCTTCAATGGCCAGTAACCATCCACGAAAGTGTTCTACAAATAAGGAAGACAGCTTTCGAGTCAGCGTTTCATGCTGCCTTGAAAGCTATACAGCTTGCTTAGATTGGCCACTTCGAACTTTGACAATTTCCTTGTTAGAACGAATGGGAGACCCGCTTTGTAAGACTTTCCTTCCTTTTTTTTATAAAAATTGCCATTTTGTACTAAAACTCAAATTTCTATCGCTTACACTTTTTTGACCATCAGATTAGCTTGTTTTACACCATAAGCGGTATTGCATATGATATTGTCAAAAGTGTCTTATTTTTTTTTCGCCTTTCAAAAATTCATTGATTATAGAACCGTTTCAGTAGTTGACTCGATTATGGATGTAAAACCACAGTCAAGAGCATTTTTGGATCATCTGTCAAATGCTCTGGGACGCACGCTTGCGAACACAACTGTTGAGTCGAGGAGAATCAGCTGGTGAGCATGATGGCGCAAAATATTCATTAGGCTCAGCTTCGGGCCATCCGAGAAAAACGGCCTGGGTTGTGGATGAGAGGTACTTTTGTGCTAGGTGAATGATGAAGCTAGTTTCAGGTCGATCTTGACTCTTTTGCCGCGCCATTCTTGCTTCTATAGTTGGAGATGTATATTTGACTTACTGAGTATATACAAATATGCACCTTCAAAAAGCTGATGACAAAAGTGGTGAAAACACTAGGAGAAGACCTGAGTCGAAAAATTGACTTGAGCGCAGAAATCAAGCGATACTTGAGCATTTCCTAGCTCTACTTTTATATGCTACGAAACCCATAAATGAAACCTGTACCGTTCCCAAAACGTCGAAAGATTGAGCATGAATAGCGTGACAATATAATTGTGATGGTCGGAGGTGATAGCAAAGGCATTTGTACATCAGATAAGGCATGGGAATGGTTTCAAACCAAGAATAATTTGTACAATGACTGTAGCACATTTTACACCAAAAGAGAATATATTATTGATGAGAACTTCCACAAATGCAACAAAAACTGGATATAACTTCGTTTGACCCATGAAGAACGCAGTTCTGCTGCAGGACTAATCTCTATATGGAAGTGCAAGGCCTAGGACCTACAATAACGATTTCACTCCCAATACTTTCTAAGCAAGAAGGAATTTGGGCTGATCAGAACTTGGCTGGAATAGCTGGTAAGATGTGCTGTATTGATTTCACTTTTAACCATGCTCAGATAACCCCTTTTAGGTATCGACATTGCCTTGTCAGAGCTAACCGAACGTCTACCCAAAGGAGAGCAAATGTACGGATTTATCGCGGATAACAATGGAATAATCATCTACCATCCAAAGCTTATCATACCGGTATGACACAATTTTCACCGTAAAAATTTACCCATTTTCTGCAAAAATCTTCTGTGACAATGACTAATCAAAGTTACCAAAAATCATCGTGATTATTTGATTGCAGACTACCGAAGTGCATGCTGTCCGTCGTAGCGCTTGTTATGATGCGTCGCAGGTTCGCTTTCGAGCTGGTGCTGGGCTTAGGGTAAGCATGAACTCTATCACTGTCTGTATTGCGGTGTGGAACTCTCAGAAGTGATTTTATTAGATGCAGAAGGAATGCTTATTGATAGCAATGCACTGAGATTCATAGTCGAATCATCGCACGAAGAGAATAGACGTCACTGCTTCCAACAGAGACAGTTCACGCTGCCGGGCATACATCACGCGATTTCATCGCCTCCCAATTGGGACAAGGCAACTGTTACGAGTCGATTGCATATTGATCACCTTGCATTGCGGTTGTGATGGTTAGTCGCGTTTAGTCGCTTCGGAAAACTATCACAACCGAAATGCAAAATGATCCGCGTACCATGCACCCGTTACAGTTGTCTTGTAGAGATAATCGCAAGGCGATGGCATCGCTTGGTATATGCTCGGCCCTTCACTGTCCACCCAAATTTTCGAATTCTCGACTTATTCTCGTTCCGAGGCCTCCTCATGTCCCCGATTCCGAATATAAAGTCCAGAATCCGCGAAATCCCCCTACATCCCCGTTCCGGAAAACCGCGTGGCGTGTTCTGCGAACAATAACTGAATGGGCGAGAACGTACTGAAGTGCATTAGTGGAGAGGAGGAGAGTGCTGCTGGCGCCCGTTATCTCGCAGCAATTTTCTTCCTTCCGAAGCAACCGACTTGGGGACTGTTTGATTAGAGGTCCTATATTGTATTCAGCCAAATGCTCAAGAACACTCATTTAGGGTGGACGGTGACTCTTAGGGTTGCATGCGTTAACACTCCCGCAGGGGAAGGGATCGCAGCTTAAAAAGAAAGCTTCATATCCTGAAGCTCCAAACTTCTGGATTTTAAGCTGTTTACCTATCCGTAAGTATCCCTACCATCCTTCACTATGAACATATTGACAGGAGCGAGAAGCTGTACGGCCGACCGCCTTTTTTTCAGAGTCATTTTTCTTTCTTCAAAGTTAGCGAAAACATTCTAAGGTTGTACTATTCATTTAGCCCAAAAGTGCTAAATGGATAGTACATTCCATGTTGCTGATGAGAACAATTGATGTATTGTAGTCATGAAGTTTGCGGTGAACCACAAGTCGAATGTTGGGGTTTATCGAAAAATTCGATTTTTCAAAAACTCATCTGTTCTTATTGTTGTTGCGCGCGGAAAACGCTGTCGCGTCCATCGCAGACAGTTCGTGACCGGAAGAGGCGCGGAGAAAACAAGCGGGCGAGGAGGTTGTGTTAGATGTTCAATAACATTGAAAGGTTTTCATTAACTTCAATGAAAGAAAAGTGACTTTGAAGAAAATAGGGTCGGCGGCCAGGGATCAACAGAAAATCATACAAAATGCTGGAAGATGCGACTTGTACAGCTTTTCGCTCCTGTTCAATATGTTCATAGTAAAGGAAGGTAGGAATACTTACGGACATGTACACAACGTGAAATCCAGATATCTGACGCTTCAGGATATGAGGCTTTCTTTCTCAAGCTGCGATCCCCTCCCTAGAGGGGATGTTAATGCATGCGGCCCTCAGAGGAATGAAAGAGAGCTTTAAGCAGAAAGACGCTGACAGCGACAGCTATGGCCCCTTGTCTGTGCGTGCGATGACTCAACTATACATTCCAAAGCCTAAACAGCAGAAAGCAACACTTTTCAGGTTCAATATGGGTTTAGCGATCAGCGTGTATATCGACTTGTCGGTCTTATTGATAGTATACCAACTATTGATTTGGTAAAATCAGTTGTTAACTCAAGTTTGGAAGACTATCAATCAATGATCCTTTTAGCTCGAGCTCGAAGGAAATTCCAGTGCTGTGCGTCGTCTTCGACACGGCATCATAACATCAGAATGTGGAAGTGAAGCAATTTTGGATGTGAGCACCAAATTCTGGCATATATCTTTTGGTTCAAATAAACTCCATGTCTTGGTATATGATCGCTACTGACATAGTGGAGAAGTGACGTCTGCGTAAGTTGAAATATGGGTAAAGGAAAGAGGAGTGCTTGATATTTATAGCATTGCAAAGTAGACCATACCTTCGATAGCCTAGAGACAGGGTCAAATGTGAAGGTCGTTGGTTTTTCTGACCTCATAAATAGTGAAGGATGTTTAAAGAAGATTAGAGAAGAGAAAATGACGTAAAAGAGATATAAAAAGCAAAAGAAACTGCTGAAAACTGGATAAAAACGCTGCAATGAGATTTAAAGTCTTTTATTTGGCGGCTTTTCAAAGTGAGGTTTTCGCTCCAGGACTAGCAATTCGCAATGCGGGGGAAAGCGAAGAGGAGATAATTTCTTTTTTGTGATTGTTTCAAATAAACATGTTTCGGAAGGAGTAGTTGTCAAGAAGAAGATAAACAAGAATGAAATTAGTTATGAAAACGCAAAGTTTCTTTTTTACTAAGTCGATAAGAACGTCGAAGCCAAATTTAATTTTTGATGCGTCTTTTGATTTTTTACCCCCGCTTTGACGTTCCCGTTTCCTGGGACGTTGTCTGGATTGTAGCGCTTATTTTTATCAGCAACAAGCTGAAAAAAATCGCTGCGAAAGCACTGAAACAGAACAAGGTAAACAAAAACTCACTTTTTACGATTTTTTGCCAAAAATTCCACCATAATCGAAGAGATAAGGGCTGGGTCGTTGTCCGCATTATAAACGAAAGCAAGATCTATGAAAAACAAGAGATTTTCGAAAACAAGGTTCTTGCCGGATTTCTCGATCAAATCAAAAAATATGGTTTTGGGACATTGTCAGCGTGAAAATAGAGATCAAAAGCTTCAAAATGATATATAGCTTCCTGAAATTGAGTTCGAAACAGCGAAGAAAAGGGTACCAGAGCCAAATGCCCCGCGCCCTGCGTTTGGAGTAGCGAGGTAGCGCGCAGCGCGCGGAGACGCAGACGAGGAGCGGAGGCAGACCAGAGCCGATGGGGATTTGGCTCTGGTTGTAGATCTCCGCGGGGTCGCATCGAAACCCTGCAACATTATATATCATTCTGATCGTCATGACACGACGAGGAGAACTGATAACGTCCCAAGCTTTGAAAATCATTCATTAACGTACAGACCAGAGTTTTTCTGCGCGACTCCCTGCGCAAAATTTAAGCTCAGTTTCTCGTTTTTCTATGGCTCCAACAGCTTTCCTAAACTTCTGAAACTCAATTTTGGTCAAATAAGAAATTAACTGAAAAATGTTGTCCTGAAATCAGGCGAAAATTTTGAAGAAACCTTCTTTTTAAAACTAAAAAAGGCTATGAAGACGCAAACTCTCTCTCTTTCGCTGAAATAAGCTAAAGACTTTATTCCTTATATTTGCTTCATTAACATTCGTTTCGATATAGTCAAGATAATAATATCTGAGGCGAAGCCCTGGACGACTTTTGTTTTTTCCAGGTGGAGGTTGTGTCCCCTCGTAGCCCTCAAAGTGAAAATTACCAGAGTACGTGGATCTATGTATAGAGGGTATGAAGTAGACTGCACTTCGCCTCCAATTACGAATCGCGCCCACACATTAATCCCCCCCCCCACCCCTCACCAAATGTAGTGAACGCATGTCGCGACGTCATAACCATAATCCCCACTATACTTTGGACCGAATCGAATGATTATTCGACTATTCGATTAAATCATTCGAATGCGAATAATTCGAAAATTCGAATTTTCTAAAATCTGTACTTCTTTGGAGTTTTAGAAACCTCTTCACAACTGTCATAGGAGTACGCTTTCAGGTTCTCAAGTCTCTTGACGTCGTAACTAAGTCGTTTGTTAATTGTAACATAAAAAGTGTAAATTTTACTTCTAATACTTACAGGGGAAACTTATGTTACTCCGTCAGCAAGAAGAACTAGAAAAACCCCTGTACATCGGATCCCGCCTACGAGCCGGGTGGTAGCAAAAACGATGTCATGGTCCTTAGGGCGCCTTTTGAATCAAACAAAACGACACATCTACCCGGAAAACACGCAATGGAGACTGCCTTATGCGCTGCAACTACAACTCTAGGACAGTCTCCACAAACGCCGACCTCCACGCTCTTCTCGCTGCAGAGCACATCAATTACTGCATTATCGCTCTGCAGGAAACGAAGTCCAGGAAGAAGAACGTGCGATAGATGACCTTTTCACCACGGATGAGTGAGTGATGGGACCCTCATCATTCGTGGTGAGAAGGTTCCATCACGAAACCTGGGAATCGTTGGCTTTGTCGTCCACCCATCCATCGTCCATCTTGTCGATTCGCATGAGATCCTATCACTCCGACTAGCCGTCTTACGACTGGAACCTTCACGTCAGAAGACCATCACCATCATCAACTGCTACTCACCAACATCAGCAGCTGACGATTCAGAAATAGATGCTTTCTACGAAGACGTGGAGCAGATCGTCCGCAACGAGAAGTCCTACAAGTTCGTTGTGGGCGACTTGGACGCAAAGATCGGGATGCCACTAGAAGAGGAAATAGGATCGGGAGGTTTGGATATGGACTCCGAAATGAAAACGGCAACCATCTCGTTGGGCTTATTTCCGCCGCACGACTTTTCCATGGAAATTCCGTTTTCGTGAGGAAAGAACATCACCGGTGGACTTGGGAATCGCCCAACGGAACGACTCATGCGGAGCCGTTGTGGTCGAATGCGGAGATCGACCACATTCTCACCAGCCAAAAGTGAAGCTTGCTTGATGTCTCAGTAGGTTTTATCCTTCTGCAGTGGCTCCGATCATCGTCTCCTTCGAGCGAAGATACGATTCAGTCGAAAGCTGGGAAAGAAGGTCTGCCACAGCGCCGCAAGAAGGAAAGAAGTCGTTTATGACGGTGACAGGTTAGAAGACCTCATATCAAGTTGTGACTAGCCCATCGAGAAGGACCCAACGTACAATTACGACGCTTCTGAAAGGATTGCGAGACTGCGAAGAGTGCGCCTCAGTGGCTTCTGTGAAGATTGGAAGCATTTCGAAAACCACCAAAGAATTGCTTGAAAGAAGAAGATTTCTGAGGCAGGGTCCGAATGCAACCCATCTCGAAGGACTGATAGCCAACGCCAGTTGCAGAACATGTTTGCAAGAGGATCTCAGGAAGTACAGACAAGCCAAGATACTGGAAACAGCCAAAGGACGAAGTCTCAATAAGTGCCGAAAAGACCTCTGTGAATATCACGTACCGCTGGCTGCACTATTGAACGAAGACGGGACTCCGGCTTCTTCCCGATACAAGATGTCGTGAAAAATGATCTGGAATCTGTCGCGAAGAATTTTTACACCAACCTGTTCCGCTCTTCAACACCCGTGCAGATACCCGTTGTTCCCACTGGAGAAGTACCACCAAGGATTCTACCTGCTGAAGTGCGTATTGCGATACAGACCATGAAGACGTCCTCGGCTCCAGGATCAGATCGTTTTTCCGTCAAACTTCTGCGAGCCGGAGAACACCGTCTACACGAGGTTCTAGCGTCGCATTTAACATCACCTTCGGAAAGAGTAAATTTCCGACCAGTGGAGAACATCAAGACCCGTCCTTCTCTTCAAGAAGGGCGAACGGGAGGATCTTCGGAACTACCGTCCAGTATGCCTGCTGAGTGTGTTTTACAAACTTTTCACGAAGATTATCCTCGCTCGCATATCTAGGAACTGAATGAAGCCCAACCCCAAGAACGATTCAACAAGCTGGACTCCGCAAGAAATTTAGTTGCATGAACTACATTCAGACGGTTTCGAGAGTCATAGAAGTTTGCCGGGAATACCGACTGCCTCTCGTCCTAACCTTCGTCGACTATGAGAAAGCCTTCGACAGCGTCGGAACGAGTGCCATTCTGTCAGCTCTAGTCGATCAAGGAGTGGACCCAGCTTACGTGAGGACACTAGCCGACTGCCACAAGGACTGTACAACGACGATGCACTATTCCATCGCCCCCTAACCATTCCAATCGGGAAGGGGGTTCGACAAGGCGACACTTTTGCCGAAGCTGTTCACCGCGGCCTTGCAGTGGGTGATGAAGTCACTGGACTGGAACGAGAGAGGCATACGAGTTGATGGGAGATTCCTGTCCAACCTTCGTTTTGCAGACGACATCGTTCTCTTCTCGAGCAGTATCACTGAAGCAGAGACGATGCTGAAGGAACTTAACGAAGTGGTAAAGAAGATCAGATTGCGAATCAATCGGAAGAAGACTCAGTTCATGAGGAACGCCCTTTGCGAAGATGCGGAATTGGAACTGGTAGGCTCTTTTGTTATGGAGACTTCCTCTTACGTGTATCTTGGACGTTCGATGAACGTGGAGAACGACTTGAGGGAAGAATTTAATAGGAGAAGAACAGCAGCCTGGCCGCCTTCGGGCCTCTGAAGGAAGCCACCGACCAAGTGACGGACCCGGAGCTTCATGCCCACCTGTTCGACTCAACGCTTCTCCCGGCGCTCTGTTACGCAGCTAAGACTTGGGCCGACACTGCTGCCACGTCGAAAGCTTTACGGACCACCCACAGAGCGCAGTCTTCTGAAGATGACCCAACACAAGCAACATCTTGTAGGGCTTCACAGTAAGGATATGAGAAGAATGTCCCGTCTTCGTGATCCAGAAAATACGTTGCGAAAGCGAAACACCGATGGGCCGGTCACATAACGAGAAGAACAGATGACAGATGGACACTAAGAACATCTGAGTGGATTCCTCGCGAAGCCAATTTCCCCGAGGAAGACCACCAACGAGATGGGCAGACGTGTTTGTGGAACGGATGGACCAGCTGAGAATTCAGCTGGATACGATTATCGCACCTGGAACTCGTGGACGCAGTCACCGGCGGCAACCAAGAAGATCGTGGATGTCTGAAGCGAGGGCCAGGGACAAATGGAAACTCTTGTGTTGAGGCCCACACGCCACGTG